ACGTAGTTGTGGACAACCGATTGCTACTAGTTAGTTCGCACGGCGCTCGTTGGCGCTACGAGCAACCGCCCCGCTTGCCCCCCGATCCCCGCGCCTATTCCGCAATTCAGTGACGCGTTGTGTACATTACTGCATTCTTCTAGCAGCACAGTGCGCATGCGCAAAAACGCGACTTCGCAACAACACGGGCAACAATACTGGTTCATGTCCGCAAAACGTGTATGTCGCGGTGCTGCGTGCTGCGCGACGCTTGCGAATTATATGTATATACAAAAATAACGCGTTGAAAACTCTAACCTCCAAAGTGCGCAAACTGGAAAAGAAATTTTTCCAAAAGGTATGTTTAGGAACCCTAACCTCCAAAAACCCATTCAAAAAATGAGTTTGATTTTCTCACAAAGGATGTGGAACTATTCGTTCAAAAGAGGAGCAATATATTTGTCGATCAACAAACAAGTTAAAAAGCACTGAAAATTGCTTATATACAGGCACGTTTTTGTGTATAGTAAGATGCCCTACTTTACATTACTTGTGACTTTACATTTAAATGCTCATCTGTTGTTGTTTACAGTCTGTTGAACATTAACGCGCAATGGGTGAAGGAAACGTTTGCTTTCAAATAGACACTGACAATCGTGAAAACTTTCCATCTGTTACTGCGTTCCATGTCTTTAGGAAGCAGCGAGATGCTTTTTATGATATACTGCGTATTTGGAAAGAGAATCACTCAGTACCAGGATGGGTATTTCAGATTGCCCTGGGCAGCAAAATACGAAACATGCTGACAATGTACAATGACTCTGTTAATTATTATCACATGGCTAGATTGTTCAAATCACAATTGCTGATATCTTGTATACAGAATGGATATCAGGTTTTTATTTTATTATGTTATTTCCGTTGTGTTATATAATTTTATACATAATAAGAATTTGACAAATAATTTATAAATAATAGGACGAAGTGGTAGATGAGGAGAGCATGAATTTTCTAAAAGCTTTGAAGCATGTTAATCCAGAAAAACTGACGCAGCTTAGTAAAAGATTTGTGACTCCCTTGCCGTCGCAGAGTCAGAATGTCAGCCCTTCGTTCCCTGGCATGCAAGAATTTTTCAGAGATTTTATTTTACACGCATTCAATCCCATATTTTACATACACTTAGAAAATTGTTTTGTTTACGAAATAATGGAGTTAAATGATACACAATTTGGTAATAGTGAAATAGAAGACTCAGGTACGTTATCTTAATATTTCTCTTGTATATAATACTTTAAAAGTGCATTTGTTTTCTATCGCTTGGTTTGTTTTACAGAGACAATGGTTGATGAACAAACGCAGCAGAAATTCACTACGTGCTTAGCCAGCTTAAGGCTTCTCGCGAAACTATTAGGATTTTTAGTATCATTACCATACAGATCTGAATCAAATACTAAAGAGATCGTTACGACTCAAGTGGAGATAAGAAGCAAGGCACGTAATATGACAACAAAATTTGTGAAGAGAAAAAGACACTTCCTAAGTCTCTAATAATATTTGTTTCTCGTTTTATTACATTTACAGATTTTACCATCGTTGAATCTACAAGTGTGTCTTCAGAACGCCATAGTTGAAGGCAAACTTACATTAACTATACCTTGGATAATCAAATATCTGGCCATGTTGGATATTGTGACACTGCGGCTACCGTATTACAAGCAAATACTAGAACTACTGTATTACATTTACCGTGCTGTTCTTCAGGTCGATCTTTCCGCGCCTGATTGCCTAATCTCGGAACAAGCGGCCGTGTTGCTTAAGTCTAGCCTGTGTTGGTTGTTCGAGATGCCAAATTTTCCCAAGGATTTCTACAACGGCTGGCAGAAGACTTGCAAAATCAAGGAGCTAAGGAATCTCAAGCAGCTCGAGAAGCTTCTCTTCGAAAAGAGAGGAAACTCGTATATTGCTGACTGCGCAGTAGTCTCTGCCAAATACAGTCTCGATAAATTAGATATAATCACCGATCAGACTATGCGTATGTGCTGCCCGCGAACGGAATCTACTTTCTCTATGTTTCAAGGGAATGGGACAAATCTTAACATCAACTCCAACAAACACATTACACCTGTTACTAGTCAATTACGCAAAGTAGGGAGCACAACTCGCACGAAACAGTTGGAAGTAAGTTGTTTCATTGCTGTTTACTTTTTTCTAGCATTGATTTATTGTACACATTTTATATGTATAAATCGTGAAACTTTGTTTTGACAGTTGCAACTGGAGGAAGCTTTTTTCCACGGTCAACCAGCCTCCACGCGTAAAACAGTGGACTTCGTTTCTGAACGAGTTGCATCGACCTGCATGAAGCATATATGTAACACTTCGCTGACTTCCTCGCGAGAAACGAATTTGGACTGTTTCAGAAAACTCTTGAAGCGAAAGCAGCACAACAAGCAGAGAGATTCAGACGAGCAGAGCGAACTGTCACTAAATTATAGTAAAGACTTCAAGGTAATATTTTTGTGCAATTATAAAAAAAATACGTTACATTGATGCAACAATCTATTATAAAAGCTCTGGTTACATATCGATGTTTAGGATTCTCTCGCAAACGATATGAGTACGTTGGCCAACAACGCATCAAAAGATTTGAAGGATCATTGCGAGAAAACGATTCCGGCAATGTGCGAAACGCGAGTCACAGCGTCGATAGAATCTTTGTTAGCGGAAGACTCTCTAACGGCGGTCAAAGAGATGTGCATAAAGATCGCGACCAGAATGGCAATAGAGCGCATAAACCAGTGGATTCAGTCGCACATTGTCGGCGGTTCCTTATTTATGAAAGACATGGAGCTCGAGATCAATAGATTTTTCCGAAACAATAGTCCTGTACATTCCAAACAGGAGAAATGTCACGACAAAGACGCACCTAGCCCCACTCTGATGATGGACGAGCTTCGAGTAAGATTTAAAATCCGTGTTTTTCAATAAAAAATATTTAAAATAATATTTAAAATTCAGACACAATATTCTGATGTAAATTCATAAAATATTGATGCATTTTTCCCGAAAACTATAAAAACAGTAATTTACATTACTGCCTTTAATTGATTAATCTTTGCAAGGCTTTGTGTTTTTACTCTTGTTTTTTTTCAGGGATTGATATGGCACTTAGTGGATAACAACGGCGCAGATTTAACAGTGTCATGTATATTGAACATTTTAGACAAATTGTATCGTGCTTTTAATGAAAGATGTGATCTACTGTCAGGGCCAAAGAAAATTTTGTATGCTCTCAGTATTGATTTTGCGTTATTTTTAGGTAACATTTGAAGAATGTCAAAATAATGCCAATTAAATTCGAAGGTAAAACGATAAAGTGACCGTGATGTGTATATACGTTTTTAGTCGCACACAGGACCGATCTCTTCACACGAGAGATCCAGGACAAGTTGATCAAAATTTGGTCGTTGGATGATCTGAAAGACGACGAGATCGAGTCGCCTATGCATAGACTTCTGTGTTCCAGAAACATTATGTTGTTGGCACAGCCTGAAAATGATGCGTTATGGCCGATCTTCGGCAGATTCTTAAAACGACTGTTAGACGCAAAGATTCTCGATGGAGACAGTTTAAGCGATCAGTGTGTGGCACTGTTCAGACAAGAGTGGCCTGTAGTGAGTATACGCGACGTACTAAGTTGTTGAAGAAGATAAAGGAAAAATGTCAAAAAAATACATGTGATTTTGAAATTTTCACAGAAAACACAGTTATTACCTAACACAGTTCCTTGCGAGTTTTATGAATTGATATAAAATGAAAAAGATTCGCATATTTTAATAGCTAAATTTTACTGTAGAATAATTTTTGCAAACTATTTTTACCTGCTTTTTATTGGCAAAAAATTCCAACTGTGTCTTTACTATGATTCATCTGTTCGTAGCCATTGTTGACGCTTTTATCAAAGTGTCTGACCGAGGCTATCGAGGGTTATAGAGCTACTGACGAGACGTCTGAAAAAGTCAAATATCTATTAAGCTGGGTAGCGGAAACGTACCAGGAAATTGATTTTTGCGACGATTACGGTTTATAGATATTGACGACGGGCAGTTCACACTGTCTTACACTTGAAGAAGTGCGATTATATTGTTAATATTTGTCTGTAAATACAAAATTTAATGTATATCGTCGTATGTATATGTGTAAAGTATTGTACATTCGTAGTTCTGAATATTTTGACGCTGAGACGAAGCAATCTTATTGTTGTACATATACATACGTAAAATGACGTATAATCTGCTTCGAAAATATATACGTATATGTGTATCGACGATTTATTTTATAATAATAAAAATAAATTTTACCTTTTTTATATATTCGGTTATTACATACATTTTTGTTTCTTTAGGTGATAAAGTAATAGAAATTATACATTGTTATAATTTTTTGATCTATAAAGAGATTCTTCACTTTTAATGTTAATTTTCTAATTATTGTCTATAATTTTCATTTTTTTAAATGTTTTTTTCGAGATTGAAGTGATAATAACTTTTAGAAGATCCATCATTTTGATTGATTTTGGTTCGCTGTTGTAGCAGACTGGCACATTGTCTTGACGCAATAAGGACCTTTTGTGCTTTCGAAATTAGGTCATCCACCTCTGTTCCATTACCATAACTCTCAATGGTCGTCCCACCTTCTTGCCTGAAAACGGCATCTAATCTCGGGTGCTCGCGAATAACCACAAATTCTCCCTACCTTTGTAAACGGGAATATAATTTTCATCGTTTTTCTCCGAAAATTTAATAAACAATTAATATAAGTAAGACACAGTTATACTTATTAAAATAAGTCCTTATTTGAATTCTTTCATCCAATTCTTTCTTTTGTTTTTTTTCCTTTCCCTCTGTCTTTGCTTTTATATATATTTTCCTATTGACTATGATTGCGGAAATATTGTATACTAACAGCAATTTTACTTCATAATAATACAAAAACAGTAGCGATGTTTACGATGCCAAAACTTATTTGTGCAAAGACTTATTTTTGCATTAGAATCGTAAATGGATACGCGAGTTTGAATATTACATACAGGTATTTTTATTTTATTTATATCAATAATATTTTTATTCTATTTGTCGAGTGTTGATTTTATTTATTTCTTTTCTTTTAGGCTTAATAAAAAGATAAGAGAGAAAATTTTTTAAATTATATTATTAAATATATTTTAGTTTTAATCATTTTACTAAAAGTTAATCAATTTTGATTGTTTTCTCCTAGCACCAATTAGTTCGACTGTCTTTTGCGCGTAAAATATTTTGCAGGATTGTTCTGGCCAACTTCAGATCGCAGATTTGATGTGTACTGTGGATGCGAGTGCACAGAAACATAGTCTCTTCATTTCGGACAAAAGTTTCTTATATTTTTCACTTATTCTATAAGTACATACCGATTGACCCAAATTCTGTAACATTTGCCAGATGTAAATATCGCTCGGTATTTCAAATTCAACGCAAATTATTTCAATTTTCGTCTATCAAGCACTGCGCACGTACATACAATCGCGTTTCTCTCGTTCTTTTTTTCGCAAATGTTTAAACATAATTCTGTAAAATATTGTAAGCGCGTTACATCAAAAGAATCGATTAAACAATGTATCGCGAAACATAATAGAAAGATGAAGATAATATGAAGATTAAAGAGAAAACTGTAAACGTAATGTATGCAACAAATCTATAGCGTGAAGGAGAAGAGCGGGAGAGATACTTGAGAGTTTTCGTAGATTCGGCGAAAGGAACGCGTTTCGAAATTCACTGCCGGTCACCGAAAATCTATAATGTACGTAACGTGAATACAGATTGTCGGTGTCGATGATAGTGAATTTTGAAACCAAAGTTGACGCTATTGCGCGGCGCGTTAGTACATGCGCGGCAAAGGTCGAACATAGGAATCGCGCGCGTTCGCACGGTACAACCGAGTCACTCGCAGTCGCGATCCGTGGCCCGTTGGGTTCGTTGGGTGCCGTTCGCAATTTCCGCTTTGTGGAAATCGTCGTATACGCACGTGATGATTTGAAAGAGATAAAAGAAAGAGAAAGAGATTGAGAGAGACGCTTGTATGTATTTCCGGGTATATCTATTTGTAGAATGGGATTTTTTTTCTGTTTGTTTTCTATCGAGTGATCGGTCGATGTGTGTACACTTTAAAAACGCAGTATTTCAACCGCACACTTAATCGATTCTTGTGACAATCGATACGCTAAACTGTCAACCGACCGAATGTCATTAGTCGTTATTACGGGACACGCAATCGGCAACTGGTGCTAATTGGTACAGTGCGCGCGACATGTCCCATTTCGCGCTCGCGATCGATCGCTCGTAGATCATGTCTGTCATCACGATGCGTCAGATATACATCGACATTTGACGTCTCGAAACGCTTCCGTCGAACACGAGGAACCGAACAGAACATCCGCCGTCATGTTATAAAGCACTGAACGTAAGTACACCTGAATAATATACGAGAGAAACACAAGTCTCTTTTCGGAAAATAAGAGAAAATAAAGAAAAGTTAAAAAGACAAGTATAAACACAAAATATGATAAACAAACAATGTGTCAGTTCTTGCGGTAATGCTTACTGCGGTTGAAAAAAACCAAAAAAAGAAAATTACGCAACTTCTGTACGTGACAAACTGCACGTAATTTTTTTTATCACGATAGAAAATAATGTGAATAATGTAAATGCGATAAAGAAAGCGAGTTTACGTGAGGGAAAATGTATGCAAATATTATGCAAATATTAATTATCTTACGCACTTTCTTCCAACACGCGACCGAAGCGAGTTTGACGAGAGGGAACAGTTTTCGCGCGCTTTTATAGCATCGTGAATGTCAAATAAGGGTTAAAAGCTCGTTAACGTTGTCGGCCACCTTTCGTCGGCGCTACACACGCATTAGCTTGGCTTGTTCCAAAGGAAGGCTTTGAAGGGAAAGACGTCATGGAACCTCTCAAGATGGGCGATGAATCCTTATTTCACGGCGCTTTGTTACAAGAAAAAAGAAAGGAAAACCGCAAGTTATACACACACACACACGTTAAATTCGTCGACCTTCCATCCAATTAGTATACGACGAAATATACGAGAAAATATTAGTTTTGGCAAAGATAACGAACAAAAACTTTCGCGAACATATTGATATTGATATATATGTGTATAAATACACACACGTACAATGTGGTCACAGTATATAGCTTATGAAACCGTAAACGCGATGATGAACGACGATACTTGAATAATAAATAATAGAAAAAAAAGTTACTTTTCCGTACACAAATTTCAAAAATTATCTTTCAATGACCGAGCTGTCAAGCTCGAAAATTGTGTGTGGCGCAATGTTAATTAATAATTTAAAAATGTTACCCGGCTGACAAAAAAGATCGATTAGATTTGCCGTCATACGTAGAAAACTTTTAACCGCCAGTATTGTCGTTACAAAGTTGACAATACAAATATTGTGCTCACAATTAACGAGTTAATTAAGTTTGATCGGTCAACACACCGCACCACATCACCGTCGAATATATTCGGTACACGTTTTCGCGGCGAATCTATACGTGTTTTTCGCGGCGAAATTCGCATTTGCATAAATTATATGGTTCACACACGCAATAAATTCTCTGACCAATGAGATCAATTTTGTCGAAATAAACAAACGTTTTTTATGCGTGTGTAAACGAATTTTCTACTACAATTACGTTACTGAATAAATCTGACTTACGTCATTTTCGAGAGAAACAGAATAAACGAAAATATATGAAATCTCTTTTCTCTCTCCGTGTTCTTTAGTTTAAATACATTTTTCTCAAAAGAACAAAACAAAATATTAAAATGTTGGAATTTTTCAATTGTTTTACATGTATGTAATTTAGAAAAAAGATTCCATCTTTGATACAATAAATTGTCTCAGAACACGTTGGACTTATCGCTTATTCTTATTTTTCTCGCGTTCTTTTACGGTGAGATTACATACACGTACGTCGGAAGTAGCGAGAACAACGCCTTTAACCGACACGTGTGCCAGTAGAGCGAATTGAAACTGATCCGACAGTGGTTTCTCGAGACTCGTCTCCGATTCTCGAAACGAGATCGCGGTTTACACATTCCTCGGATGAGCAATTTGCGGAAAACCGAGGAAAATGACGAGCAATACGAGCCCCAGAAGCTAATTGCTTTTGCCACTAAACAAAATTTACGAGCATTTAGAAACGTCGTGAGCACTCAAAGTCGCGCGCACGCCGGAACAATAGTTTATAATATTTCACCTCGCGATCGGTGGCATTAATCCCTCTCTCGCTCGCGATGATTTACCGGCGAAACTGCGTGTAACTTCTCGTAACGTCTTCGCCGTGAGATATTATTGGTCATGCATGAAAACTTCTTGAACTTTTTAATGAGAACAGCGCGAGAAAGAAAAAAGTTCCAACAACTTTATTAAAATAATGAAAGAACATTTTTTGTGTTTTATTAATTCAGTTGGTTCTTTGAAAGACTTGATTGTATTTTAAGAGAGCTCGAAATTTCAAAAGAGGCAACGAATCTGGAGAAAGAAGATCTTCTTTGTGATATAAATATAAATTATTATTAAAATCTCACAAGAGATATATCAGATCAAAACGTGTTTCAAGATCGTCTTTAGCTGAAACGCTTGATGAGACATCTTTTGCCGATACACAGAGCTGTTTCTTTCAGTGTGTTCTTAATCTCCGATGATACTCGTCGCGTTGCTTAAAATTTCATTTCTCGCGAAAATATAACAGTCTCTTATTACTCATAAAACTTTTTCACAAGAGACAGACAGCGGTTATTGTGGTTATTGTGGTTACCCGAAATCACGAGTTGCATTAAAAGCTTATTAATTCGAGTCTTTAGCGCGGTTTGCGAAAGCCGGCTATATAGCAGAAGTACTTGTGTGCGCAGCAGTAATTCAAGTTAATTAATCTTATTTTCTCTTCAGTCAGGTCAGTTCCCTTTTGTTTTCATTGAAAGAGCAAAGGTTTTCTTTGTTACTGCAAATAATCTTTTAACCGATTTTGCTCTGTCTCCGGGAATTAGATTTTATAATTTAATTTGCCAGACAACAACGACATGGAGACGCTATATAGCGGCGCGATTCACGGCTTTCCGCAATCCGGGGGCGGAATGACTTCCACGGGAATCGCCAGTGCCTTCGACCAGGACGGCGTGTTGAGTCTCGTCGTCGTCCTTGGGGGAAGCCTGTCCTTGGTGGCCTTGGTGTTCGCCTTTATCACGTACAGGTAAGTCTATTATTAAGAAGAACAAAAGCGGCCGTCTACTATTCTGTATTACAGAGGAATTTCTTATCTATACATATAATGTGTAATAATGAAATAAAATACAGAAAAAAATAGAGAATTTTATTTTTCTAATAAGTGCGAATATTAATGAAGAATCTTGCACGAATGTTTGTTAAAAATAAATTTTTTAAACAATATATTCGTCGTCGTGAAATATAATAATGGGGGAGAAGTGGCCAATATACGTGGCAAAAACCAAATCTTCGGGTAAACAAACTTCTTTATTCAATGTTGTACGTTTTGATTCAAAATTGGTTTAGTCTTCAGTGTTCGAATAATCATAAATACAGGTAGAACTCGGTCTCATTTAAAATTTTTTAAAATACAACGCAGCTGAGCACTTCATACGCTCGATTGATATTTATTTAAAAGTAACAAGTGTTGTGATCTTTCTATTTGGTCTTAAACTATTGAGTATATGAGCGATAAATTGAGTTTAATTTTTAATTTGTCGACTACACGTTCAATCTTGGGAACTTCAATTATTATTATTACAGTTTTCATCGAGCGGATATATCCGTTACGTTCGCTTTAGGCTGTTAGCAACAGTTTTCATTGGGCAGACTAAAAAACACTACAAAATGAGAAAATTAAATTTATAAACAGAAAGTTGAAAGGTAATGCAATCCAATACCGACATATACAAGATGTCTATACATATAAAGTATCAAGTTTTTATTCGTGAAATAACAGACGTTTCAATCTCCTAAGATTCGGATTATCAATAGTAAACATAGTTAAAACATTGGTTAAGTAAATTAAAATATTAATTTATTTAATTACGCACTGTGATAAGGATCCGTGCTTTGGGGTTGAAATATATGATACTTCTTGAACAAAAATAATTTACATACACCGATATCTTGTACATTGGCTCGCATTGCTTTTCAACTTTCTGTTTTTAAATTTTTGCAAGTTTACTCATTTATTAATAAAATTTATGTGAAAAAGTAGAAAGAGAAGGAAATTGATGAAAGAACCAAACAGAGAAAGAAATATATACATATATTATTCATACTGTTTATCCGATGGTTTTATTCGAAATAATTGTATGTCAATACATATATGACCTCTTCTTTCCGCAAATTTTATCAAAAACACAGTAAAGTATCGACGAAAAAAACAACAGATTTTCGCATTGTAACCGCGCGTTCCGAGTCTTTTAAACATTTCGTGACTCTTTAAAGGTTTTGGTAAATGTTCAGAAAAACGGAGCACCCTCGGAGATCAATGACCTTAACATATGTTGTCAAGGACACCTTTCTGAACAACAATCTGCAACTTTTAGTCGTCGCTCGTTAAAAAATTATAAACAAAAGAAGTTGCGTCAAAAACTGGTATTAATAAACAACTGTTACAATAAACTTATTTTCCAGCACCGTGTACATTTTGTTTGTGTTGTAAGCATGTAGGCAGGGGGGGCTGCGCCCCCCCGCAGGGGGAGAGGCTTCGCCCCTCCCTGCTCCCCCCTCACGAAAAAATGAAGAATTCAATTAAGTGTCGCTTCATGTCAAGATTGTTTACTCGACATATAAAGTGGAATATTACTTCGCATATATCGCCAAATTCTTTCGATGTTTTGCGTGTGACAATTAGTATGAGGATCTACGAAATTTTCTTTGTGATTTACTGTATGGTGAGTATAACCGTGCATAGTGATTGAGTAAACAATTATGACATGAAGCGACACTTGATTTAATTCTTCATTTTTTCTCGAGGGGGGTGCAGGGGGGAGGGGCGAAGCCCCACTCCCTGCGGGAGGGCGCAGCTCCTCCTGTCTACACGCTTACAACACGAATAAAACGTACACGGTGTCGGAAAATAAGAGTTCATTTATGATATTTCTTTTGTTTATAATTTTTTAACAAACGACGGCTAAAAGTTGCAGATTGTTGTTCAGGGAGGTGTCCTTGACAACATATGTCAAGGTCATTGACCTCCGAAGGTGCTCCGTTTTTCTGAACACTTACCAAGGTTTTTTCAGTTCTCTATATATTTCTTTAAAAGTACATCACTAACACACATAAAGTTTTTCCAGAAATCGATCAGGAAATTCGGCTGTTCTTTGTATGTCGATCACGTAGCCTTTATATCCTATTTTATCCGCTGTTTTCGACACATCGGCAATTCTTCTCTCGCGGATTCTTGTAAATTCTCATCGTTTCGCGCGTTGCACAGCTAATCAGAACACGCTTGAACTCTGGAAAAACGACATCTTTTAAAAATATATCCCACTGTGGCAGTCGTGCTCTAAAATTTGGTTTCGTTCTGAAAAGAGCTTCTTTTCTGTCGCTTTTTCTCTGCGATTTACTACTATCGCATTTACGAACAGTTACTTGAAAGATTTCATTTCGCATAGATCAAGAAATCGATGACTCGCACACTTCAAGCTCTCTCTCTCTCTCTCTCTCTCTCTCACTCTCTTTTCTTTTGTGATGATGTTCCAATTTCACTTTCAGACGCGAAATAAATCGTTGATGTGGAAACGAGATCGTTCCGCAAACGAAGAAACTTCAGAGATGAAGAAAAAGAAAGAGAGAGAAAGAAAGTGTCATGATCGGTCATTCCCCATTCCGGAAATTGCTGGGAAATGGGAAAACGCTCTGCCACAATGTTCTCTCCTTGCATGTTTTCGGTTCGATCGATTGATCGAAAAGGAAAAAGAGAAAGAGAGCAAGAATCCGGAAATATTCGATGCGGAAAAAAAAGTTGGACAAAAGCTATCGTTGCGAATGTCATCGATAAAACGCTGCCGTCTTTGAGATTTTATCCCATTCTCCTATCGCATGTATATCCCTTTCATATTTCGTTTGTACGTAGGAGAGATTCCGATATATTGCGAGAGAATCGGCGAGAATTTCTTTATACAACGTGGCGATGGAACTGAAGTTTACCGGCATTGAGAAATATCCTTCCGATATCGCAGATATTCTCCTGTAACTGTTACGAATAACAGTAGAAATGATCTCGGAGATATTGTTTTTTTTCGTCTTTCAAGAAAAGCAAAGTTAAGGAGACGCGGCGTCTATTGCGAGATTGTTCTAAAATTTTTTGATTCTAATTTTTTGTAGAATCGTATCGAGTTTAATGTATAAGTTGTATAAATGAACACACAATTCTCTGTCAAAGTTTTGAAATGTAATTTAGTTTGTTTCACTGTTCAGTTATAGTCTGTGAATTGCCACTTAGAAAAATAAACTGTAAAAATAACTAAATAAAAGCTTCGAGAATTTACGTAGTTTCAAAAGTCAATTCTGAAAGCTTTGTTTCTTCTTCCGTCGTCGATAAAACGCCGTGTACAAAGTGATGAAATCTCACAGCGACCACGAGTGTGTTCATATTTCGTTTTTGCTAATGGAGTTTCCTGTTTTCACAAAGATTTACCAACCTCACCCGCGTCCAACTAGATAACACACACTGCGCGCGTATAAATCTACTCGTAAAACACTGTATTTTCTTAAGGCAAATGAGTATGAAGTGCAACTAGTTAGTCGGTGGAACGAAAGTCGGTTAAAAAAATATCTTCTATGTTCTTTAACAATAAAATTCTCTCTTTTTCTTTCGTTATCTTCTCTTTCCTACTGATTTGATTTTCTGTAAAAATTCTATCCGCAAATCTTTTCTCTTTTCTACTTTTTCTCCAGTTTTAAGTACGACGAGGAAATAGGGATCGCGGTCATGTATATATTTGCACTGCCATATCAAACTATACAACTCGACATCCCAATATTACAAACAAAACGTTATTTTGTATCATCGTGATATTACCAGTTTTCTTAATTGCGTTTTTTCATTTTTTATTATTTGTTATTGCTGTTATGGTTCAATTTTTTATTCATCGTTTATTCGTCGTCGAGAAAAGAAAATCGCTTTACGTTATATCGCAGTGTTTATTGCGTTCTTGCACGTATAAATGTTACGATTATTCTTGCGCGAAATATAATATTAATATTCCGAAAATTGCAATATCCTCGCGCGGCAGCGCAACGCTCATCGCGCGATTAAAGATAAATTACGGCTTTTATATTTTTTGCGTCTCGTATTAACCGGATATCACATCGAATATCCGGTATCTATATGGAATGTACTAACATTGCTGGAATGCTCGACCTCGTTGCAGCGATTTTATCGCCATTCGACACATGAAAGACGTTTGATGATGATGACGTGTTACCGGTGTAGGATTATTTGCGGTTGTCACTAAACTGCAAATATTTCACATTGATATTTAATCACTGATATTTTCATTCATTGATATCAATAGTTATTTACTCGGTGATAATATTCACTCATCGATATTCAACGCGCATTAAAATATATCGCTTATTGACACCACTTGATTATATTTCGCTTATTGCTATCGGATCAGCTTCCAAAAATAATTTTTATTATGAAATAATTATATATATGTATACATGTATATACTTTGCATAATTATCTTATATGAAGACTACAAAAGAAGAACTTGGATAAGTCAATTTTTTTGTTTTTGATGTTTTAATAGTTAAATTGAAGTATTTTAATTATCCAAAACGAGAGAGGGAGAAATTCTTGATAAATTCCGAGATGTAAGCATTTTTATAGAACGTGTAACAGAGAAATACATATACGTTTCGAACTTTACAATCGCTCTTCTCTAACATTACGAAAGTGTGACTTATCAAGTTCTTCTCCTGCGATTTTCATATGTAATTGCAGTTTTTTTATTTTACGTGTCCGGATATAATAAACGATATAAAAACTTTCTTGATTAAAGCTAAAATATTGGAGCAGATGTTTTTTATCAACAAACACGCGTCTCGAACCAAGTTTTGCAGAACGGATGAGAAAGTGATCTCTATTTTCCGAATATAAATAATAATAATAATAATAATAAAACAGAAAGAAAAGTACACGCGCGATTCACGGTAATAGACTTTCTCAAGGAATCCATACGACGT